GGGGCGGCGTGATGCGTGTGAGGGCGTGAGAGCGCGAGAGAGAGGCTCAGGGCGAAGTTGGGCAAGCTCAGCCAGGCGCGGCCACACGGCACTAGCCCCAGCAAGCGGCCCGGGCCAAACCACACGCTCCCATCTCCATCCCTGCCAAAGCTGGCGCACCCCCCAGCAGGTGGACGCCACCCAGGGTTCACCCCCCACCTGCGACTGCTGGTAATAGGCGGTGTAGTCTTCTGGGGTAGCCAGCTCCCGCGCCGTCCTCAGCGCAACTGCGGGCAGGCGTTGAATCCTAGTTTTAATGCTTCGGTAGCAACCACTCAAGCATAACACTGCTTCGACGCGGCAGCAGGGTGCGTGGAGCTGCTGCCAGGTGCAAGGCACCGCAACAGCTGCTGGGCCCGCCCAACACCGGAGGCCGGGCGTCCTCCTGGGGTTGGCTGCAGCACCGCGGAGAGAGCCAGCAGCAGCCCAGGCCAGCGGCAGCTGCAGCGCGACAGGCAGCAGCCGGGCCAGAAGGCGAGGAGCAGGCGCGCCCAGCCGCAAGGCGGCTGCCGCAGCCAACCCAAAGGCAGTAGCAAGGCAGCAGCAAGGCAGCAGCAAGGCAGCAGCAGGCAGCAAGGCAGCAAGGCAGCAGCGCTCACCGGGCTCATCCAGCATCCCGTGCGACGCCGGCTCCACCTCCTCAATCACCTCGCTGCCGCTCCTTGCTGTGCCGGCGAAGCGGGGGCTCCTCCCGAGCACGCCCGCCACCACCAGCGCCGCCGCCGCCGCGGCCGAGGGGCTGCCGGCGTCGGCGCCTGCGCCGGGGGCGGCCGCCGCAGCCGAGGCGCCGCGCGCGTCCACGCCCTGCCCGCCGCCGCCCCTTGCCCCCGCCTCTGCCAGCGCGGCCGCCGGCGCCGACTTCTGCTCCCCCGCGGGGGCGGTGGCTGTGTCCAAAGCTGCCATGCCCGCGCCGTGCGCCGCCGCGGCGGCGCCGCCGCGGCTGTCGCTGGCCGCGCCGGAGCATTGGCCCAGGCTGAATGCCAGGAGCATGGAGTCCCTCACACCCAGCGCCGCCATCATCACTCGGTTCCTGCAGGACAGGATGCAGGGGGGCTCTGTGTGCTGACCCTGAACCCAAGCTCCAGTGCGCCACGCCTGAGCAGCGCGTACCCTGCACCACTGCCCCGCCCACCACCTCACCTGGACGCCACCCCACACACACACGCACACACAGCAGCACCACATGAACACGCCCGCCACCGCATCAACCAAAGCACCACCACCCACTGCCACTGCCACTGCCACGCGCGCACACACACGAACACCGCAGTACCCACCTCTGCTCCAGCTCGATGTTTTCCAGGCGCAGGCGCCCCACCTGGTCCAGCACCTGTGGGGAGGCGGTGGGGCAGGAGGTGGAGGCAAGCGGGGGTGGAGGGGGTGAGAGGCAGGGCAGCAAGGGGGCAGGTGGGCATGGGGTGGAGGCGGGAGGGCGTGGAGGCGGCAGGGCGGCACGGGGGCAGCCGGGCAAGAGGGGCAGGCACCGCGGCCGCCGCGCACCTGCTCATACTTCACCTCCGCCTCCCGCACCGCGGCGCGCTGCCGCTCGCGGAACCGCTGCTGCGCCTCTCGGTTCTTGCGCCGCGCCTCCGCCAGCCGCGCGTCGCCCTCGCCGCCCTCCACGCCCTGCCGGGGTCAGCCAGGAGCGCAGGCGCATCGTCGCGCATGCATATGCCTATGGTAGGTGCCTGTGGCCTGGGAGGGCCCTGCTGCCAGGCACCAGGGCGCCAGCGCACAGAAAGGGGCAGCCAGCAGGCGAGCAAGCCGGCGGGCTAGGTACAGGAATGCCGCGCCCCACCCCACCTCCATGCCCGCAGCCTCATCTCCCGAATCCGTCTGGCCGCCGGCGCCGGCGTCGCCGCTGCTGAGCAGCAGAGCCGCCTGCTGCTGCCCCTCCAACTGGCCCAGGGCGGGTGGCGGCAGCGAGGCCGCCGCGGCGCCGACCGCGCCGGGCAACGCAGGGCTTGGCAAGGGTGGCAGGGCGGCAGCGGTCGCGGGGTCGCATGCGGCCAGGGCCGCCGCCACATCTGGCGGCAGCTCGGGTGCCGCGGCCTTGCCGCCGGCTGCCTTGCGGCGCTGCGGCCTCGCACGCCCCCCTGCTGCTTTCGCCTTCTTCTTCTTCTGAACCGCCTGCTGGGTGGAGGGGGGCAGGGCAAAGGGCGCCGGCTGGCTGCTGCCTGCGGCCCCGGCTGCCTGCGCAACCTGCTGGACCGCCTTCTGCTGCGCTTGCAGCAGGGCCTCAAAATCGAAGACCGGCGGCGGCCCTGCCGCTGCCGCTGCTGCTGCCGCGGCTGGCTGGCTGGGCATGCGAGGCGCTGTTGCCGCCGTCGCACTGCCGCCGCTGCCCCTAGTTGCGGGCGCGGCGCTCGCAGGAGCTGCTGCCGGCGCCACAGGTGCGGAGCCTGGGGCCTGGCCGGCGGCCGACTGCGAGATGCCGGCGCACGCATCGTTCATTCGCTGCAGCTGCTGCAGCAGCTCCTGATCCCGGCGCTCCCTTTCGGCGTCCACGCTAGCGCCGGCCCCGCCCCCGCCGGCGCGGGCGCCTGCCGCGGCCGCGGCCGCCTGCTGCGCCGCCACCTGCTGCTGCAGCGCGCTCAGCGAGGGCTGCCACTGCGCCGCGGCGGGGAGTGCGGCGCCGCCCGGCAGGCCAAGGCTGCCGGGCAGGGCGCCCAGGCTGCTCAGCCCCTGCAGCGCATTCATGCTGTGCAGCGCCTGCAGGCTGCTCAGCGCGTCAAACGCGCCCAGCGCCGGCAGGCCCCCAAGGTTCTGCAGCGCCGAAAGGCTGCTGCCGGCGGCGGGGGCGCCGCCGCTGGCCGAGAAGGGCGGCAGGCCCAGCAGCCCAGCCGCAGCCAGGGTCTGCGTCAGGCTCAGGAAGTCGCCATTGCCCGCATTGTTGCTAGCCTGCTGCAGCAGCTGCTGCTGCTTTTGTTGGTGGTGGTGCTGCTGCTGCAGTTCTTGGTGCAAGAGGAATTCCAACTGCCCCGCGGCGGCCGACGGAAGTGGCGGCAGGCCTGCCGCTGCGGCCGCTGCTGCCAGGTTGCCGCCATGCGCTGCCAGCGGCCCCTGCAGCCACGAATGGAGCCCGTCAGAGCGCGCGGGGTGTTGCTCCCCTGCAGCGCTGTCACTCCCCCTATCATGGCGCTCGCCCTGCTGCCAGCGCTTGCCTGCGGAAACGCCAAGATGGATTCCAGGCCAGGGGGCAAGGGAGAACCCCTCGGACCCTGCATCGGGCTGCGTCGCCCAGGTCGCCCCTTTGCCAGAGCCTGTCCTGCGTTTATTCTACTGATCGCGCACCCAACGGGGGGAGAAAACGCCCATAATTTTAGGACTACAACTTGTGTGACACCCATGTGACCGGCTGTGACACATCCGTTCCATCGTTTGTTTAATCCATGTTTCGATGCCAATCGAAGCTGGCGAATCGCCCGCATCATGTAACGCCGGCGTTGCGCCCTAAAATGGGCTGACGACTGTGCCTTGAAGGGTGGCTGGCGGCGGCGCCGCGGCGCTGCCACGCCAGGCTAGCCTAAAAGTTTGCGGCTGGTCGGGCCCCCGCCTGTCACTCCCCCTGGATGGTCACCACCACACGCCGCCGCCCGCCGTGGTCACGGTGCTCGCACAGCCAGATGCCCTGCATGGGCGCCGCACGGGGGCGGGGCAGTCGACAGGCTTGCACCCCCTGACGGCGGCACCAGTGCCTGATGATTTGATTTGTTTTTGCGCGCGGTGCAGGCGGGCGTGGGCCCGCGCGCTTGCCTGCCAGGTGCCCATGTTGAGGCGGCCGTTGGTGATCGGAATACTGAGCGCTGCTCCCATCATGGATGCCTTGCAGTGCGCTGGGAGACGGGCAGCCATGCAGCAACCGCAGGATCAGCGAGCGAGCGGCCAGCTGGTGGCGTCAGCAACAGCACACAAGGCCCCCCGGTAGGCTGCGGCAAGCACCAGGGTGGGGCAGCGCATGCCAGGGCGTGCAGACCTCCCGCCAGACCAGCGGCTGCAGCCCAGGCCCCACACCTGGCATGTCATCAGGCCCTGGGAGCGGCAGCGGGAGGCAGGCGGCATGGCAGCACGCGCACAACAAGGCGCAGGTCAGAACGCTGCCGCCACGGAAGCCGACCGCGGCAGGCACGAGCGCAAGAGCATGCTGCAACATTGCAATGCACCAGGGCAGCCAGAACCTGCAGCAGACACGGGTGCGCACTGTGCGGCACCGCTCACCCTCATCCGTGTGCACCCAGGGCGCGCCCCGGCCCTCGGGCACCACCCGGTTTAGGAAAGTCTCCATGTCCACCCTCACATCGGGGTCGGCATTCTCGTTGATGGTCAGGCTGGCAGATGTGTGCTGGACTGCAGGAGGAGATGGCAAGGCAGCAGCAGTTGGCAGCAGCCACGCGCGCCAGGCCACGGTGGCACAGGCACTGGCGGCGGGCAGGCAGGCCGCGCCGCCGCTCAGCGCTCACTGAAGATGTGCGCCAGCCCGACCTTCACGCCTGCCAGGCTGCCGGAAACCTCCCGCACGATGTGGCTGGTCACCTGCAGCGGGCGCGGGGGCAGGCGGTGGGGCTGGTGTTTTCGATGCAGGGGCTGGAAACGATGAGAGAGACAGAGGCGCCGGCGTGAGGTCCCGCTGAAGAGCGACACATGCAGGCCGTGGGGTGGTGCTGCCATAGCAGCAGTGGAAGAGCACGGGGCGCGCCGGCGGCGGCGCCGTCCAGCCCGGCTGCGCCTCGCTCACCAGGTGGCAGCCGCGCTTGAATGCTGGCAGCGTGAGCTCGTGCTGGCGCCACACCATGCTGCTGGTGCCGCTGCTGCTGGGGAGGGGAGATAGAGGAGGCGGCACGCCCAGGGAGAGGAGCAGAGCTGCGATGACGGCGGTGGCGGCGGCGCTGGCGGTGAAGGCCGCAGAGAGCCACGCCGTGGCTGACGGCCAACCGGCGTCCTGCACGAGGCGCCGATCAAGGTGAGCCTGGTGTGGCCTGGCTGCTGCTCCGAGATGGCGTGCTAGTGCACCGGGCAGTCGCGCAGAGGCGTTTGACAGATGTGGGGTTGCCCCGGCAGGCCACTTGGATCTGCAATTGAGGTGGGAGTGACTGCCGCTCCTCCTCAGTAGGGGAGATCAGGGTTTTCATGACGCCGTCCGCCAGGTAGGCGCCGACTCAGGCGGCGGTAAAAATGGGGCGCCCCTGCCGAATTAATGGGGTGCCAGCACGCCACCCAATGGCAGCGTCATCACATCAGAGAGTATCCATGCTTTGGGGGGGCGTCAGGATGCTGCTCATGTGCTCCACCCCGCCGCCGCCGCCGCTCGCCAGGCTGGACCTTGTCCATCTTGAGCATGTAGCTCTCTGCGCTGCAGACATGGCTAGCAAATAGCAATCTTAAATCTAACACCCTCATAGGAGCTCGTCCTGAGCACGCAACAGGAAGCCCTGGCCCACCCGCAGTGCTGCGACGATTTAGCCAGCTAATTCCGCGAGCAAACAACTTGCAGAGCGCGATCCGGCCGACTCACGTGGTCTGGGGGCGGCTTCCACAGAACGGGGCTCGCCCATCCCGTTGCGGCCGGCGGTGCTGCGGCGCAGTGCCAATCGGTAGCTTGAAATAGCGTGGCGAGCGCCCCGGGATTGTGGATCCTGCCTGCGGGGCCCAGCAACGGCACCTGCGGCGCAGGCGCCGCCACCGCTGCCGCCACCACCACTCGGGAGCCGCGTAGAGGCTCCAGGGGCCCCCCATGGGGTCCTCTGTGGTGCTGGCCACTGCGGGGTATGACCACACCATCAGGCAAGCAGCTGCATGGGCTGGACGCGGCGCGCCTGGGCAGCGCCCCCCCCGCAGGAGCGTGTCGGCAGACCGCCGTCGCTCGCGCTGCCGCCGGGCCAATCTCACCCGCGCTGCCACCGCTGGCCGTGCGCGGGCCGCCTGCCGCAGGTTCTGGGAGGCCACCTCCGGCATCTGCTACCGCACGCTGCAGTACGCGGACAGCCAGGTCAACAAGCTGGAGATCACGGCTGACAAGACGCTGATCGCGGCGGCGGGCAACCCACACATCCGGTGAGCGGCGCGCGGCGAGGGGGATGCACGGCGCCGCGCGGGCCGTGGAGCAGGGCGCAGGCCTGAGCCCTGCGGCGGGGGCGGCAGCGAGCAACGCATCCCGGCGCCGGGCCGGCGGGGGCGGGCCGCCGCTGGGGCAGCGTGCACGCCCACATCCGTCGCTCGCCGAGCGCGCAAGCGCCCCGACACCTGTGCCTGAACTCCCCTCCCTCCCTCCCTCCCCGCCCATCCCCGCCCACCCGCTGCCTGGCCCAGGCTGTACGAGGTCAACTCCAACAACCCCCAGCCCATCATCAGCTACGACGGCCACACCAGCAACGTGACGGCGGTGGGGTTCCAGAAGGACGGCAAGTGGATGTACAGCGGCAGCGAGGACGGCACAGGTGGGCAGCGCAGGCGGCGGCGGCGGGGCGCGCGGATGCATGGATGCCGTGGGCCGCGCGGGCCGGGAGGGTCCTCTCGGCTGTGATGCGTGGTGCTGTCCCGGCACCGCGGTGCGCCTGCCGGCGTGGCTCGGCGACGCCTAGCGGCCGTGCGGTGGGCTGAGTGCTGCTGCTGGACGCTCTGGAGGCCGCCTGCCCGCTCGCCGCGCCAGCCCTCTGTGTCCTCCCACCCACCCCTCCCACGCCCCGCCCGCCCGGCGCGCAGTGAAAATCTGGGACCTTCGGGCGCCGGGGTGCCAGCGCGAGTACGAGAGCCGTGCGGCGGTGAACACCGTGGTGCTGCACCCAAACCAGGGCGAGCTCATTTCAGGGGACCAGCACGGCAACATTCGGGTGTGGGACCTCACGGCCAATGCCTGCAGCTGCGAGCTGGTGCCGGAAGTGGGGACAGGTGGGCTGGCACGGGCTGCGCGTGTGTGTGTGTGTGTGTGTGTGTGTGTGTGTGTGTGTGTGCGGCCTGGGGGGCATGCTGCGCGGCGCGCCGGTCTGAGGGGCGCGGTACCGCAGGCTGGCCTGCCGCCAGCCTGCACGTGCAGGAGCCGGGGCGGCGTGCTTCGTCCAGCCGGTCGGCCAGCCAGCCCGCGCGGCCCTCCGCTCACCCGCCTGCCTGCGGCTCGCCGCCCTGCCTGCCCCTGCCCGGTCGCCCCCACCTGCCCTGCAGCGGTGCGCAGCCTGACCGTGGCTATGGACGGCTCGCTGGTGGTGGCGGCCAACAACAGCGGCACCTGTTACGTGTGGCGCGCCATGCGCGGCTCCTACCTCACCACACACTTTGAGCCGCTGCACAAGCTGAGGGCGCACCAGGGTGAGGCCGCTCACCTCCCTCCTGCTCCCTGCCTCCTCCTCTCCCTCGCCTGGGGCTGTGCCGCTGTGTGTGCGCCAACCCCGGCAGGCGGCCGTGCCCCTCCGGTACCACACAGCCGACCGCCCCTGCCCCCTCTTCGATAAGCCCCTCGGTACCACCCACCCCCCTCTGCTGCCCGCTCCCCTCTCCCACAACGCCGGCATAACAACTCACATACCCCTCCCTCCCTCGCTCTCCACCCTCCCTCCCCGCCCACCTGCCAGGCTACGTGCTGAAGTGCATGCTGAGCCCCGACGTGCGCCAGCTGGCCACCACCTCCTCTGACAAGACGGTCAAGCTGTGGAACCTGGATGGCTTCACGCTGGACCGCACGCTGGCGGGTGGGTGGGCTGGGTGGGCCTTGTTCTGTAGAGGGGGTGGGGATGGGCAGGGCAGGGCAGTGGGAATGTGTATGCGCGCGCGCGCGCGCGTGTGTGTGTGTGGTGTGGACATGAGCATGCTGCTGAGTGTACGCTGGCAGGTTGGCTGGGCTGGGCCTTATTTTGGAGCATTTGTGGAGGGGTTGGTTGCGCAGGGTGGAGGCAGGGGGTGGCGGTTGGGGGTAGGGTGTGGTGGTTGGGGCTGCCCCGCTGGCTGCTTGCAGCATTGCTGACCACCAGTGCTTGCCGCCAGTGCTGACCACCAGTGCTGGCCGCCGTTGCCTGCCGCCCGCTTGCAGGCCACCAGCGGTGGGTGTGGGACTGCGTGTTTTCAGTGGATGCAGCCTACCTCGTTACCGCCTCCTCCGACTGTACCGCCCGGCTGTGGTGAGGGCGCTGCGGGACTAGACTATTGGCTAGTGGGGTGGTGAAGCGGCGGGGCTGCGCAGCGGGCTGGACATGGGTGGCGATGCGTTGGCAGGCCGGCCGGCTGCCAGCCACGCGCCCGCGACGCACACCTGCCTGGCCTGCCCCCTGCCGACCGCCTTCTCCCCGGTGCCTCCCTGCCTGCCTGCCTGTGCCGCCCTTTTACATATAATCTACTTCTACGCACCACAAAGGTTAACTTTTCCTTTTTGATTGATCTGAATGTGCCGCCCTGTGCTTCGCAGGGACCTGAGCACTGGCGACGCCATCCGCATCTACAGCGGGCACCACAAGGCCTGCACCACCTGCGCGCTCAACGACAGCGCCATCGAGGGGCGGGACGACGGCTGAGGGCGAGGCCCAGGCCGCCGCGCACGCTGGGCTTGGCCCTGGGCGGCGTGCGGCGGCTGCGGCGCCGCTGCCATCCTTGGGAACGTGACGTTCCGCCCAGGGCTTCGCCCCGCCACCCCCGCCTGCCTGCCTGCCTCGTGCAGCGTTGCTTGCTTTTCACTTGTCGACAGTACTCCCTGCCCGTATTCCTTTGCTGCATCACTGAGACTCTATTGGTTGCCAGGCCCTTTGGGGCGCCCTCCGCCCGCTGCGTGCCCACCGCACGTGCAACACGTGACATGTCTGAACACTCTGAGCGCCACAGGAGCCAAGCTGCCGCTTACAGGCGGGGCAGCGGCATTAGTCTATTGAAGGAGAGGGCAGGCGCAATGCAATGCAGCGGGAAAACTGGGTTGGAATGCTGCTGCTGCTGCTGCTGCTGTGCTGGGTTCGTACGCTGGCAGGCTCGCCGCGCGGGCCCCTCGGGCCCGCCGCAGGCTCGCCGCCGGTAGTCTCAAGCTGGCAGGCTCACCGCGCAGGCCGCTCTGGGCCGCTGCAGGCTCGCCGCCGGTGTTCTGATGCTGGCAGGCTTGCCGCGCGCGCCGCTCAGGCCGCCGCGGGCTCGCCGCCGGTGGGTGTGCCGCCGCGGATGGCGGCAGACAGCGCCTGGATGCCGAGGCGGCCGCCGGGGGCGCCGCCGCCACGCCCGCCGCTGCCGCGACCGCTGCGCCCGCGCCCCCTGCCCTTGCTGCCGCCCGCGGCCGCAGGCGGCTCCCCGTCCGCTCCGGGGGTAGCCACGCCGTTGCCTGCAGCGGCGGCGGCGGCAGACGCCTCTGCTGGCGCTGCGCCGGGCCCTGCCTCGCCGCCCTCGGCCCCGGGCGATCCGCTCTTGCCGCCCTTGCCGCGGCTGCCGCGGGGCTTGCGCGGCTTGGCGCCTGCCGCCGATCCGTTGGCCTCTGAGGCCGCGCCACCCTCGCCCTCGGCTGCCGGGGCGGATGCGGCGGCGGCGGCGCCGCTGCCACCCTTGCTGAGGCCCGGCGGCGGCTTGCCACCTCCTGCCTTCTTGCCCCCTGGCGGGCCGCCCAGGCCAGGCGGCGGCGCTGAGCCTGCCGCGGGCCCCGATGCTGCTCCACCCTCTGCCGCTGCCTGCGGCGGCTTGCGCTTGGGCACCACCAGCACCGCTCGCTTGCCGCCCGCGCCGCCTTCCGCGGCAGCCATGGCGGGGGTGGGGCCCGGCGCCGGCGCCGGCGCGGCCGCCGCGCCCTCCTCGCCGCCTGCGGGCGCCTTGAGCTTGCGGCCGCCACGCGGGCGCTTGGGCTTGCCTCCCTGCTCCGACGCAGGCGTGCTGCCGTTGCCCTCGCCGGCGCCGATTGAGGGTGCGAGGGCGAACGCCGCCTGCTGCGCGCCGCCGCCCCGCCCCCTGCCACGCCCGCCCCTGCCTCCTGCCGGCGGCGGCGGCCCGGCGCCGCGAGGCGGCGGCGGCGGCGGCGGCGGCGGCGACACGATGGGCACGACGTCGGGGCCGCTGCGCCTGGCTGGCACCTCTTGCCGGCGCATGCCCTGCACCACGGGGGCCAGGACAGGACAGCCGCTCAGGATGCCATTCAGGCAGCAAGCCAGCAGCAATCAACCCATCAAAAACAACCCAGCAATCAACCCAGCATACCAAGCAGCACAGCAGCGCAGCAAGCAGCACAGCAAGCAGCGCGGCAAGCGGCGCAGGCGCGGCGCGGGCGGCCACCCACCGCCTGCTGCTGCTCCTGCAGGAGGCGGGCGCGCTCGGCGGCCTTGTGCTGCATGTAGGCGTGCTGGGCCTCTGCTGACATGGCGGGCGCCCCGCTGGAGCCAGCTGGCGACACCTCAGCCTCCACGCTGCCGTCAATGGCGGTGGGCAGCTGGATGGCACCAAACTGAACCAGCTGCTGCTGCCGCGGCGGCGGCGCCTGCACCGGCGCGCCGTAGCGCACCGGGGGCTGCGCGTGGGGCGAGCGGAGGGGCGGGCCGCCCCCAAACTGCGCCTGCTGCTGCGCCTGCTGCTGCTGCTGCTGCTGCTGCTGCATCGCCCCCACCCCAAAGGCCATGACAGGTGAAGGGGGTGGCACCCCCGGCCGCTGCTGGGCTGCCAGGAGAGGGTGGCCCAGCACCACGGCTGAGTGCTGCTGCTGCTGCTGCTGCACCGCCTGCCCCCGCACCACGGCAGCCCCCGCAGGGCCCCCAAAGCTGGCCATCACCGACACGGGCTGGTGCTGCGCGTGGTGGTGGTGGTGCGGCGGGCCCGCCCCAGGCACCGGCATGCCGGGCGCGATGGGCCCGTGCGGCAGCATGCTGCGCGCAATGGCGGCCACCGCGCCACCGCCGCCGCCGTGCGTGCCGGGCTGCTGCTGCTGCTGCTGGTGCGGGCCCGGCGGCGCAGCGGGCATGCCCATCGCATGCTGCTGCGGCGGCGAGGTCAGGTGGTCCATGATGTCGGCCTGAGAGGGCAGGTTGACGGGAGGCTGGGCCGGGCGCGGCTGGCGTGGGCGCGCCAGCACGCCCGGCGCCTGCTGCTGGCCGGCCCCGGCATGCAGCTGGGACAGGCCGTTGGCGGCCTCTGGCGCCGCCGCCGCCGCCGCCGCCGCCGCGGGGTCGCGCTTCAAGATGCGGGTGGGTGCGGCGCGCGGGCTGGGCGCCAGGCGCTGCTGCTGCTGCTGCTGCTGCTGCTGCTGCTGGGCGTGGTGGTGGTGCTGCTGCTCCGCGGCGGCGGCGGCGGCCGCCGCCTCCTGCCGCTCCAGCTGCTGCCGCTGCTGCACCTCCGCCGCATCCGCCAGGCTGCCGGGCTCGCTGCGCGGCATGGAGCTGCCCAGCGTGGCCAGCCTGCTGCTGGCCAGGGTGCTGTCGCTCTGCTGCGCGCTGGACGCGCTGCTGGCCAGGCTGGCGCTGCGCTCCAGGGCGGGGGCGCCCTCGCCCTGCGGCCGCCGCGGCGGAGGCGGCGGTGGGGGGGGCGGCCGCATGCCGTACGGCACGTCTGGGTGGGTGGTGCTCTGGGGCGGGCGCTGCAGCGGCGCCTGCGGCTCGGGCGGCCCGCCACGCTGGTGCTCGACCCACTCGCGCTCATCCCGGGGGTAGGGCCCCCGCTGCGGCGGGCCCCTGCAGCGATGAGGCGCAGCGATAAGGCATAGCCGGGCTGGGCACATGCAAAGTGTACTGCTCAGGCACGGCAGTGCCCCTGTGGGCCCTGCACCAACTTCCCAGAAGCTCCCTCGCCAGGCCATCCCCAGCCCCACAAACACAGCAGCGGCACCTCGCTGCCCCGCTGCGCCTGCCCCACCCCACGCCTCGCTGCCGCACTCCCCACCTGTGGGGCGGTGGCGCGTCGCGGTCATACGAGTGGCGCTGGTGGTAGCCGTACTCCCGCTCATCTGGAGGACCATCATAATAGGCCCTGCAACCACATCACCACACCACACATGCCGTCACGCCATGCCACGATCCCAGTTGCTGGTTTGGCTATCAATCAGATGAAGCGGGGAGGGAGGGCCGCAGGAGAAAGCTGCAGCAGGTGCGCAGCGCAGGGCACGCAAGGCGGCAGGCTGTACCGCCGTACCTGCGCGGCGGCCCGTAGCCCTCCTCAAACTCTGGGGGTGGATAGTGGCGTGGCGGGGCGTACCTGCGCCGCAGGGCAGGGAGTGGCAGCACGTTGAGCACGGCTGCACCAGGTGCAGGCCTGGCGCCGCTGCTTCTTCCCAACTGCCCAGCCACGGCACAGGCGCAAGCACTGTGCGAAGGCAAGACTGGCAGCGCGGCAGCCAGCAGGCAGCCCGCCACGCCGTGCAGCAGGCCCCAGCTGCGCAGCGCACCTGTCGCGGTCGCCAGGCGGCGGGCCGTGCCGCTCGTACCGCTCCCGCTCATACGGGCCTGCAAGCCACCGCCCAAACTGCACACGCTCAGAACCCGGCTTGCCCTCTGGGTCGCGAGCAGCACAGCACACCTCCAAGCACACACAAGCCACAGCTAACCGACACCAGCCGATTGTGCCAGCTGACCAGCTGCAGCCCCACCATCACCACGGCACGCACCCGGTGGCCCATCGTAACGCGGCGGTCCGCGCTCAAAGTGGCGGTCGTACGGCAACGGGCGGTCAAAGCGGTCGAAGCGCTCGCGGTCGTAGTACCGGCCGCGGTACGGCCCATCCTCTGGCGGGCCTGCACCCAGAACCGTGGCACAGCGCGTGGTTCGCATGCGGGCAGACCCGGTCAGCAACAGGGCATGCTGCCGAGTGGCACATGCAGCCTGCGGCTGCGGCAAGGCCGCTGGTGCAGCTGGTGCACGCTGGGCGTGCTGGTGCAGCCTGGACGCGCTGCAGCCGACGAGAGTCGCAGGGCGCAATGCAACACACGGCGGTGAAGGCCAGCAGGCGGGGCAGGCCTGGCCGGGCCGGCCCCGCCCCTGCGCCCACCAGCGCGCCCCACCTGCGTAGCTGCGCTCGTCCGCGTCCCAGGGGCGGCGGTGCGGGTCGTCGCCGTAGGGGTGCCCCATGCGCCCGTGCCCGCCCTCGTGCCCCTGCCCTCGCTCGGTGCCCAGCACCGGGAACTCCTGCTGGCTGGCCATCTCCACCTGCGCACCCAGCACGCGGCAGCGGCACGGCGGGACACACCTCAGCGCAAGCACCTCGGCAGGGGCCAGGAGTGATGGAATCTCCATGCTCTGTCGTGCCCTCAAGGTGCGCGGTGCCACCTGCGCTTGCTGCCGCAGCCAGGGTGCCGCCACCTCCGCCTGCCGCAGCAACCAAGCTGCGCAGCGCCCCACCTGCTTCTTGCGCTCCTCGGGGAGCCCCGCGCCGCCCCATGCAGGCGTCGGCTGGGCCGGAATCGCGCGCTCCGGAGCGTGCTGCTTGGAGGCGGAGGCGTCGTCGCCGCCGCCATAGCCGCCGCTGGCGGTGCCCCACCCGCTGCCCTTGCTGATTAGGTTCACAGTGGGATCATTGCCGTTGTTCTCCTTCCTGCAGCAGCCAGGCCCCCAGCCCACTCCATGCACCCTCAGCGACAGGATGCGCAGCAAGGCCACAGCCACATGCTGCTGGCGGCGGCGGCGGCGGCGGGTCTGACGGAAACTCCGCTGGCGGCTCCCAGCGCGCTGGCCCAGGCTGCCGCCTGCCCAGGCCGCCGCACCGCAAGCCCGCCAGGCCAGCCCCTACTCACTTCTGGCTGGGCAAGTTGATGGGCTTGGGCGCGGCCACCTTGCCCAGCGACACCATGCGGCGCTGCCTGCAGGCCGGGGGCATCGCAGATGGTGTTCACGGGCCGGTGAAGCAACTCAGCGGGCCAGTCAAGGGCCGAGGGCTGATCGGACGCACCTGGCTGGAGCTCCCAACATGTTGCCCGCACTTCCCGATGCTTGGCAGACTCACTAAGCCGCCGCAGGGGGGCTGCAGGAGGGCAGGCACAAGGAGGCTGGTGGGCGGCGAAGGCGGCTCCACCAGGCTGCCCGCGGTGTTGATCAGACCCTGCGGCGGGCCGTGCCTGCCCTGGCGCCCCTCCCGGCTGCAGGGCGGCGCCGCGTCGCCCCCTGGCATTCGAGCCGGGGCTGGGGACACCCCTTCCGCCGCAGCCCCGGCACCAGGGCGCCGCCTGGCTGCTGCCCTCGCCTCTGGCAGCATCAGGCCGTCACCCCAGCGGCTGCGGCCTGCTGCAGCTCGCTGAGGCCCCGCTCTGATCGGCCTCACCTTCGCAAGCAAACAAAGCAGGGCGCTGGGCCTCCTAGGGAGCGCTAAATCTAGCTTTCTTATCCCCAAGGGACCCCGCCTAGCGCGCAGAGAAGAGTGGGCCGCAGAAGGGGGCCACAAGAAGGGAGACCTGCTGACTGGGCCCCAGAATTGGCGCTGGAGGGGCAGGTTACAGGTCTGGGACTCAATTGACGCAACCCACGCCGACTGGAGCGCATCGCAATGGCGCCAGCAGGCCAGAGGACACCGGCGGCACACCCCCAGCCGCCGCTCGGTTGGGCAGCAGGCGGCGGGATGAACTGCCACGCCTGGCACTGCTGCAGTGCTGCGGCCAGCCCAGACTGGGTGCACCAGCCAAGACCGCATGCTGGTCGCGCTCTCAGCTTGCCGCCGCTCGGTGCCGACCACCCGCTGCCACTGCCGCCGCCGCCGCCGCTCAACCCAAGCAGTATCGGTGCTTCACGCCGGTTGGGAACCAGGCAGGGTCGCCGTGGGCGAGCAGGTGCACGCGCGGCGGCTGCCTGTCAGCGGGCACATAGGCCGCATACTCGCTGTTGAGGCGCAGCAGCTCTCGCAGGAGCACGCGCCGGATGGTGCCAGCCAGCTCCTCGCTGGGCGCCACCCCCGGCGCAAGCTCCACCCGCACCGCCAGCTGCTTGTCCAGGTCAGCGCTCTCCTCCACAAACAGAACAAACTTGCCTGCAGGAGTGGAGAAGGGCGCGGGAGGGGGCGGGGCAGGCAGCGAAGCGCAAAGAATGGTGGTGGGTGTTGAGCGGGGCGGATGACGCGGCGCTCGCAGGGTGGAGGCCTCAGCCAGCAGCCATCCCGGGGTGCTGCCGTACCTGTGGTGAGCGCCGTCAGCTCTGGCTGCTCCAGCCCGCTCATGACATTCTCGACAAACACATTGGCGCCAAAAACGGACACCGTCCAGAACGACCTGCATCAGAGGGTGGGTCGGTCTTCAGCCAGTGCCTGCCATGCCATGCCTTGCCCTGGCGCAAGGCTGAGCAGCACACGCTTCCAGACAGTGTGCTGGCAGCAGCTGCGGGTGACCATCTCACAGGCATGTGGCCCACGCAAACTCACCGCCCGAAGACAAAGGCAAAGGGCAGCCTCCTGGGCTGCAGGTCGGCGGGCAGCACAAAGCCACGCTCTTTCACGAATGCCAGCATGTCTGCACCACAGGCACAGACAGGGGTGGTTTGTGGAGTGGAGGTGTGTGCGGGGTGTGTGGAGCGCCAGGGACAGGAGGGGCCAACGGGCAAGGGCCACACAAAGCTAGGAGCAGGGATGCGTCAGGCTGCCAAGCTGCAGTACCACCTTCATAAGAGATCAAGCCGCCCGTATCGCCTATGCAGTACCGCAGCAGCGGCGCAGCGGTGTTGGGCGTCCCCGTCGCCGTAACCACCAGCGTGCCTGCACCGGTGCATGGGCGGCAGGGCTGATCCGATACGGCGGCTGAATGGGCTGGGCTGGGCCGGGCTGGGCCGGGCTGGGCTGACACTCATCATGCCTCCTTGCATCTCAGGCGGCATCCGCATCCCCGGCAGGCAGATGCAGCATTCACCATCCTCTGGGTGCCTCTCCAGCATGCGGCAGTACGGATCGTACTGCAGCAGGGTGGGCAGCCGCTCTGCGCCAAACAGCTGCCGCGCCGCCTCGGGCCGCTGCGCCAGCCACCGCCGGATGGCCACACTGCGAGGGGGGAGGCGGTGGGTTGGATGGGCTCCGGCCAGTATGCAGCCACACATGCCCGCCTGTGCCCCCCCACCGCAAACACCAGCTCCATGCCCAGGCTCCACCCACCTGAGCGGCGTCTCATTGCCAATCACGCCCGCATCTGCCGTCCCATAGAGTGACACCACATCCCGCAGAATGTCCTTCATTCCCAGCCTGCGGGCTCCCATGGGCAGCAAGCTCCTATGGGCCAGACCGCCTGCCAGCTCAGCATGCCTGCCGCAGCAGGATGCGGGCAGGCGGCAGCCCGCTGCTGCAGGGCACAGGAAAGCCGCCCCTGCCGGCCTGCCCACCTCTGCGCCATCAGCGTGCGCCACTCTTCACTGAAAACCTCCCCCGCCAGGCACAGCCGCATGCGATACTCGCCCCACGGCACCCCCGCTGCCATCCCTGCAGCCAAGAAGCAACAGCTTGGCCGGGGCACAGGTGCCAGTCGTGGGGTGGTGGCAGAGCGGGCACTGCTGGCGGATACAAGGCAGCTGTCGTGCCAGCACGCTGCAGCTAAGTCACCCGCCTGGACCGGCTGCACCAGCACCATTGCTCAGGCTCATCGCACTGCCCTCACATACCCGCATCAGCCACCCCCTTGAGGAAGGGCGGGTAGCCCAGCAGCAGGGTCTGGCTGTGGTGCGGCGCCAGCGCCTGGACCAGCGACAAGATGTCTCCCACCTTGTTGCCTGCACAGCATCAGCGGGGCACCGCCAGCCGGCAGGTAGGCAATGAGCAGCAGGAGCAGGTGAGCCGAGTGCAGGCAGGCGGCACAGCATCACCAGGGAGCAGATCCGAGTACACTGTCATGGGGCTGCCGCTCAGGCGCACGGAGCCCCCAGGGATGCGGGAAAAGCTGGGTTGTGCTGCTGCGCCCGCTGCGCCACCTGGCGTCACGGTGGTCAGGCGGTAGCCCTTGAGCGTGAGGAAGCGCAGGCACAGCGTGGTGAACAGGCCGCCCACCCAGCTGCCCAGCGGAAAGGCAACCACCTGCAGTGTGGATGTGGGGTGGGCTACTTGATCAATGTGGCTGCCAGGACACATGCGCCAGCGGCGGATGACACCCCACAGGCTCACCGCTAGGGTGGGCTGTCGGTGCGCCTCTAAGTTGTCCCAGCACAGCTGCTCAAACCTGCGGGCTCGCGATGGGGCGGCGTGATTGGTGAGGCCAGGGGAGCACCCTGCCTGCCTGCAGCAGCGCCGCCTGCCTCCCGCAGCCCTTGCCCAGGCACGGCTCCTGCATCCACACGCACCTGGCGCATACCGCCAGCTCATCGAAAGCGTTGCGGGCCCACAGCGTCGGCTGGCCGCTGCTGCCGCTGCTGCAGTGCACAAAGTCTGCGGCGCCGATGGTGCCGCCAGTGCAGCGCTGGGGCAGCGGCCAGCGGTGGAAGTAGCTTTGCTTGGAGGTGAAGGGCACATCCTGCCAGCTGTAGCACGGCGCTGAGGGCTGCTCTGCGTCGGCAGCAGTGCAGTCCGGCTGGCTGCCGGCGGCGCCACGCCCGCGCCGATGCGCGCTGGAGCAGAAGGCGCGGTAGGCGGGCACCGTCGCCACGGCCTGCTTGTGCAGCTCGTGTGCGGCCTGCACCGCCCCCTCAGGCAGGCACTCGCCGGTGTTTGCAGCCAGCAACCGGTCCAGAGGAAGTCTGGCCCAATCGGTAATAGTGATCGGAAGGCTGGGCGGCATGTCAGGAGGAAGGTGTGTGCCTGCACGGGGTGGGTAGCTGGGGGGGGAGGCCTCCAGGTGAACCTGGCTGTTGCCAGGTCATCTGCCACGTGGGAAATGAATGTGCCTCCTAGATCAGGGACACGCCTCTCCCCTCCCCTCTTCACTTGCCAGTTCTGCCCATCACTGTGGCTCAATTTCCCGGCCAGCATCCGTGCAGCACGTCAGCTCCCTTACGTCCCCCTTGCGGTCTGGCACCTGCATACGGTCTACCGCACTCCCCGGCGCAACCATGGCTGCATACCGCTCCCTGGCACTGATCAGCCTGTTGGGGCTGCTGGCAGCAGCGGGGGTGGCACATGGCCGACCGCTCCAACCAGTCCCTTTGGTGAGCCGGCAGGTGTTCTTCCCCTTGATTAAGTGCAATGCAAGCAGGATGCCTTGTGAAAACGCTCGACTGGTGCCGCTGCACACCTGCAGCAGCAGCAGCAGCAGGCGCCCCCCGCCCATGTGCCGCCTCGTATGCCTGAGCGCCGCGTCGCCGTCGTGCCTCCGCTTGCCACCACCGCAGGAGACGCGGGCTATCCTGATCAGTGCCGACTGCGCCCAGAGCCTGTATCCGGCGCTGTCCAGCTGCCGTGCCGACACGGTGGCGGCGGCAGCCACCCTGCCGGGCTGCTGCTCCGGGCTGCAGGCGCTGGCGCAGGACTGCATCAACCAGGCGCTCTTCTATGTGGGGGACGACGCGCAGGCCGTCCAGAGCGGCTCCGACGAGCTGTGAGCGCTCGGCCTGCCTGCCTGCTCGCCAGCCGCGACGCGCAAGCCGCGCCTGCACGCTGTCGAGCGCCCTGGCATGCTGGGGGCCGTCAGGCCCAAGCAAAAACATCTGGCGCCTTTTTGCCCCTCCTATCCGCGCCCTCTCCCTGCAGCCAGCAGCTGTTTGGCGCCTGCGGCATCGCCAGCGTGACCATCACGCCCGTTGCCAACATCACCGACCTGCCTGGGGACCTCAGCGGCGGCCCCCCTGTCGACACACCGCCCATCAACACCCCGGACACCACCGTCACGGACACCACCGGCAACGGTGGCAGCCCGCCGCCGCCAGTGGACTGCGTCAGCGCTGCCGGGGGTGCCACCGACTCGTGCTCCGCTGATGGGGACGTGGCGCCCGGCACGCTGTGCTGCACCAGCCTGGAGGCGCTGGGTGTGGACTGCCTGAACGACTACAGCGACGCGGTGGCGGCAGACGACGCGCAGGCTGCTGCACTGTGAGTGGCGGCCGGCGCTGCCTGGCTGGGTGGCTGGCGGGGAGGCTGGTGGGCGGGCTGCCTGGTCGGCAGTCCCCTGTTGGGGCTCCCATGCGGCGTCGCGGTCACCATCCTCATGCCTTGATGCTTCTGCCTGCACCCCGTGCAGGGCACAACTGCTGGAGGGCTGCGAAATCGACCTGGCAGGCATCAACAACAGCACCCTAATCAGCTAAAGGTGTGCACCACAGACCAGAGCTGATGACAGATGCTTTGTTGTTAATTCTTGTCCTATAAGTACCGCTGCTGATTTACTGATGCACTGATGGACCTTTGTTGAAATGAGCATAGACTGCCAAGAACGGCGGGCGGGGGAAATCCACTAGGCATTAAGAGCATTGCAAGCAGTTGGGACAGCAGCAGTATACCATGCAGAGCTGTGCACTGCAGCTGGGGCAAAGGGAAAAGGGGGGATCCCCAAAGGGAGTGGCGAGCAGCCACTGTGGCTGCCGACCAGCCGGCAGCCAGTCAGCTGCATCACTAGCTTGCCCTGTGTTTTGGCTAGTCCTCCCCCCGGTGGCACGTCGAACGCCTCCCCTGTCTAAAAAATGTAAGGCCCTATCTCGAACTCTACCCCTCCAGCTGATTTCCTTCCTTCGGGCGGGACAGTTGGACATACTGCCCAGCGCTGCCGCCACAGCACGGCGCAGCACGGGGCCCCTCACAAGCGCCCACCCGGCCCATCATGCCGAGGCTGGTGGCTGTCGAGACTTGCCGCCGCTGGGACAGCAGCACAGACCCGCACGAGCCGCACGAGCGTACCGGCCGCTCTCACGTGCAGGCCATGCCCGACGCACGGCAGACTGGAAGACGCGGCAGGGTGGCCCACAGTGTGGGGGAGCATGCGGAGACCTCGGCAGCAGCTTCCGCGCAGGCCTCGGCGGAGCCGACGGCGCACGCAGTCGCTGCCGCCGTCCCGCCCGCGGCGGTCAACTCAGAGCTGCTCGCTCACGACAAGCTTGTGGGTGCGGCCACCCCAGTCGTGTGGTGCTCCTTCATGAGCAAGTATGCAGGAGAGCTGAGCCTCTGCAACAACCCGCAGTGGATGACCATGGTCGTGGCAGGTCGGCGCCTCCTCTTGCTTCCTGTCCTGTTGTCCCTCCTCCCTGCCCGCCGGCTTTCCTGCTCACACGCTCGCAGCTCACCCTCGCCCCTGCGCACTGCGGCCACTGCCCGCAGTGACAGCCGTCCTGCTGCTCTGGCCGCTGGCGCACCGCCGCAGCTATGAGCGGTGGCGGGTGGCGGGAGTCCTGTTCATCCGGTCTTCTGCTTTGTGCGGCCATTTACCTACAGGTGTGCGCAGCCTGGCACAGCATTGAGCCTCTTCTTTTCAACAGAGCTGTAGGAAAGAGCATCGCCTGCGCCCTGCTGCATGTGGCGGCCAAGGGTGCGCAGCCTTCGCCAACTCCTCGGCTCCTGCTGCCCTAAGCCCCCCCGCCCGGCATGCAGCTTGGACTGGTTCGACAGCGTCGCCCCCGCCACCGAGAGCAGCGGCACGCTGGGCTGGCTGAACGACGCGCTGCAGCTGCTCATGGGTGAGTTGGGGGGGTGGGCCGCGCAGATGGGTGTGGTGGCATGCACCGAGCACATGCAGGCATGCCAGCATCGCCGCTGCTTTAGCATGGGAGGCTGGCAGCGGCCGCGGCTGCCGCCGCGCCGCATGGCAGGCGCGCCCTGCATCTGCCCCACACGCCGCATTGCTGCGCTCTGCCACCTCCAACCCCCGCTGCAGCCGACAACGTGACGCTGCTCGCGTATTCGAGCGTTGCCGCCCAGCTGCCCTTCCGACTGCACATGGCGGTCCAGGCGGCGGCGGTGGCGCTGATGGTTAGATTTGGCTGCAGCCCTTCTGCTCCAGCAAGCTGCTCAGCAGCTCGCCCATGCGCCAGCGCGTCGCCACGCTGCACAGCGGCATGGCGGTGCTGGCGGCGCCCCTGACGCCCGGCGATTACGCCCTCGTCCCCAAAGGTGAGCAGGCGGGGCCCGGGCTGGGCAGGCCCGGCATCGCTGTGCGCTGCTTGCACACCGCTCAGGAGCTCTTCAAGCGCCCGGTGCCCACTCCTGTGCCCGCCCTGTCATGGCTGCCGCTGCTGCAGGCGAGCGCCAGCAGTGCGCCGCCCTGCTGCTGATGTGCTGGCTGCTGGGCGGCCTGCTGCTGCCCACGATGCTGCTGCTGCCCAGGGAGCCGGGTCCGGAGCCAGAGCAGCAGGGCCCTCGCCGGCCCCTCGCGGCCGCGGCATCGGCGGTAGGCGCCACGCTGGAGGGCTGGCTGCGCATGCTGCTGTACGGCACCCCGCCGGCGCCCCCGGACCCCGAGACGGACAGCGAGGAGGAAGGGGAGGAGGAGGGGGGCTCCGTGTTCCACCTGCTGGGCAGCATGGGCATCCCCTGGTGGCTGCGCTGGTGGGGGGTGCTGGTCACCATCTGGGCGGTGTCCTGCGCTGCCTCCCCGCAGCTGGTGTAGGGGCAGCCCGGAAGAACAAGGATGAAACATGCCTCAGGCAACAGGGTGGAGCGTTTTGCCACACCAAATTAACTACACTTGCCTAGTCAGTACAAAAAAACCTCTCTCCAGCAGTATTGTCTCTCTTCGCTCTCCTCCTGCTCCGTTCCAGTGCACCACCCTTGTGTTCATAAACCTCCTCTGCTTCGATACACTTTATGTTTCATAGATGCATTCCTGTGGCCATGATTTGCGGACCCCCTTCCAAGTTCTGTGCAATCAAAAACACATCTGCGGCATGTACATGCGAGTAAGCCGCCACCTCAGTGGCGGCGCCCTGTAGGATCGCGATGTGCAGAGGCAGGTAGCTCGTCAAGTGCACTTCTTCTTCGTCCTCTACCAACTAGTAGACCGATAAGGGGCGTCGCAGGATGGCCAAGGGAGGCAAGAAGCAGAAGGAGGCCGCTTCGGCGGGCCAGGACGCTGTGCTGGACCTTCGGATGGACAGCAGCACGCCAGAGGCGCCGCGGGAGGTCGCCGCTGAGGACAGCGGCGGCTTCCAAACGCCGTGCACAATTACTGGGGTGATGGCGGGCCTGAGCGGCGGGACTCTGGGCTATGTGTTCGGATTCGGTGAGTGGAATGGGCCGCAGGCGGTCTCACCTCGGGGTTTGGATTGCACCGGGCCTGGCGCACCGCTCCCGTCCCACCCCTCTCGCCTGCTACTGAGACTGCCGCTACTCCGCTACTGAGACTGCCTGCCTGGCCGCGCCTGGCACTGCAGGCGGCTACTGGATGCGTCACATGCGGGGCGGCGGCCAGTGGAAGCCGTCGCTGGCAGAGGGCTGGGGCTCGGCCAAGGTGTGCACACGCCCCCCCTTGCCAGCGGAGCTGCGCCCGCTGCGTTCCATGCTTGTGGCCTGTTGTTGCAGCCCTCAGACACGCCGCCCATCCACATCCCCAGCATGGGGCCACTCACTCGGGGTGGCAGGCCGCCAGCCCGGATACCCTGGCTCCAGCAGGCGCCGCACAAATGACCCCGTCTCCTCTGCCACCGCTGCCGCCCCTGCTGCTGCCCCTGCTCCTCGCAGACGTTTGGCATCATGGGTGGGCTCTATGCCGCCGTCAGCTGCTTCATGCAGCGCCTGCGCCAGAAGAACGATGGTGGGCCGGCTGCGTCGATCGCCCTTCTTTCTGTTGGCCGCCCACGCGCTGCCGCCGCCCGCTCGAGCTCGCTGTTGCTCAGGGGTCGGCCGCTCGTCTCCCCCTGCCGTGCTGCACGCACAGATGCGCTGCCTGCCCTGCCTGCTACGCCTCTGCCCCTGCAGCCTGGAACGGCGCCGCGTCTGGGTGCGCCACGGGGCTGGCGCTGGGCTGGAAGCAGGGCCCGCTGAGCGCGCTGCAGGTGGGCGCCGGCGCCTGCAGCAGCCTGCCGGGCCGACGCCACGCGATGGTAGCAAGCAGTTGGCGCCGTCGCCTCCTGGTGCTGTGGGGGCGCGCCTCCCCTGCCGCCCTCCCAGCCCTCACATCCCACCCGCAACCGCCGTTGCCTGTGCAGAGCTGCGCCATGCTGGGAGCCTTTTCTTTCTTCGTGGATGGCATGGGAGTGAACCAGGCAGCAGCGGCGGCGGCTGAGAGCCCGGCAGGAGCATCTGCCGAGCCTCGCGGCGGCGGCGGAAGCGGCGGCAGCAGCGGCAGCAGCGGCAGCCAGTGGTGGCAGGTGCCGCACCACCACCCGCGGCAGCAGCGCAGCGCGCTGGAGCTGCTCCTGTCGCCTGCTGTGCCGCTGCTGGCGGCAATGGCGCCCTGCGCATTCGGGGCACCAGAGGGAGGCCCTCCCGGCAGCAGCGCCCCGGCAGGGTGCAGAGTCGTGCGGCGGCGGCGCTGAGCAGCCCCCTCCTGCATTTGCTTGCCCACCCTTGCCTTGCCTGCCAACCTTGCCTGCATGTGCCCCTTCTGCCTGCCACCCGCTACTTCACATCCATTTCCTACTCCCTCTCAATCAGCCATATCATTCTCTCTCAATCAGCCATCCATTCTCAACAGCTAATGTTACAGCTCTTCCGAAACAGCTGGTGCGGTACAGAGCTCTCTTGGCTGGCATAGTAGCTCCGTCTTGCAGCGGATCAAATGAAATGTGGGGGTGGGCCCCTGGCATGCAGCACGCTGCACAAAAGGCAAGGGGGCGGGAGTCAAGGCGGGGGGAAAACCAGAAAGGGCAAATGTTACGGTTTCAGGCTGGGCTGCCGTGCGGCGGCAGGTACCAGTCAGGGCGGCGCTGTGAAAAGAAAGAAGGCAATAGAGATGCGGCCATACGTTACTGAGGGGTTACTGAGGGGGAGGGGGGGGAGGCAACCCGCCGAGGGGGCAAGGGATCCAAGAGATCGAGAACCGGAGGTGTCCCCCTAATCGCTACCCACGCGGAAACGCGTAGCACGGGAGGGTTAATCGTACAGAGGAACGGGACAGCACTCAAGGCCGGAGGGAGGCAAAACCGCTTGGCGTGCGCACGAGGGGGTCGGGTTGGTGCCGGGGAGTGGCACCTACTAGTGTCGTGAGGTCGCTTCAAGGCAGTGGGTGGCACGGCGCGAGGGCCGCTGGCAGGAGCACGGCACGAGACGGCCGCGGCAGGCAGCGGGCCAGCGCACGCCCCCGCTCAGTTCACGGCCACCGCCACGGGCGTGGCGGCGGCCCCGGCGGCGGCGGGCCCCCTGGCGGCCAGCAGCCTGCGGTTGTCGCCCGCGCCCAGGCTCCCGGCGGCCTGCAGCGCCGCGGTACCGATGCTGTACATTTCTGGAAAGTAGGGGTAGGAGCGCACCACAGCCACCCCCTTTTGCGCTCCGGTTGGGGGTGGGGGAGGGGGAAGGGCCCAAAGAAGCGGTAGCAGGGTCAGAAGGCAGCCCCGGGGACTGCGCACCCATGGCAGCCCTTTTTTGAAAACCAACCAAGTTCCGGCATGCCCGACCAGCCCCCCCCCCCCCCCCGAGGCCCTCCCCCACCCTCGGCACACCCTGCCGCGGCAGGCCCCCCCCAGCCTGCGCAGCCCCCTGCCGCCACATGCCCCACGCGCCTGCTGCGGGGAGAGCACGTAGCCAAAGGCGTCCCGCACGAAGCTCATGCACACGCAGTGCTCCTGAGTCATGTTGGCGCTCAGATCCGCCGTCGCCTCGTGCACCTGCGGGCCGGAAGGAGGCGAGCGTGTGTGTTTTGGTTGGTGGCGGAGGAGGCGAGACTTGAGTGGTGGAGGCGGGTCAGCCGGCTGCGCCCTGGCCTGGCTGCCGCGCCCGCCGCTCCCTCGCCGGCCCCCGACTCTGGACCACCACCACACCGCCACCGCCGCCGCCGCCCCGCGTCCTGCGCCCACCTGGAGCCATGATGCGGTGGCCTGCTGCATGGCTCGCAGCGTGGTGGGCACCTGGATGGCCTGCAGGCGGTCAAAGATGAGGCGCCGCTCGGCGCACACCTCCTGGATGCGCTGCAGGAAGTTGGCGCGCGCCGCAGCCACCCGGTCCAGCTGCTGCGCGCTCAGCTGCACCGCGCCCTGCACACGTGAAGGCAGGGGTGCGGCGGGGTGGGGGGTAGCGGAGCAGCAAGGGTGAGCGGCGCGGGCGGGAAGTGGGGCGATGGCGAGGCGAGGGGTGGGGGCGCACGCGTGGCGGAACCCTGCGCGGCTGAGCCAGGCCTGTGCCAGTGCCATGCGCTCGCCACGAATGCCCGCAGCAGGCTGGGCAGGCCGCGCAGACGGACAGCAGAAGCAGGGTTTGCGGCGCACGCACCGCGACGGCCTCCCAGTGCCGCATGTCGTCGGGTGCGACGTCGGAGCGACCGTCATCCAGTGCGGCAGCAAACCTGCAGGCACCAACACACCGCCAGGCCGCGGATGCGGGCGAGGCGAGGAGAGGTGAGGCGAGGCAGGGAGGGTGGCAGCGCCGGCGTGGCGGCGATGGCCAGCCTGCCGCGGCTTCCGCCGCTGCCGCCGCAGCGGGCCCTCCCCCACCCCGCCCCAGGAAACT